TTCGTCCAAGTGGTAAGAAGACACTTTGCAGGCTTGGCGCGAGATGCAAGTGAACGCAAAATATGCGATAAAATCAAGTTAGGTACGTGTCTTGGGTAATCAGATTTATGTCTTTAGATACTTTTTTTTCTTATTTCTTTCTGAACGAAACATAAAAAAGACGAAAAAATATGATTGGAAAGGAACAGAGAAGAGAATGTCCACACGGCCGCTATCTTGACATGATTGTGTATGGCTGGGAAGGTTGAAAGAAATGGCGCGGGAAATGACGCGGGAAATGGCTTTTTGTGGTTGTGTCTTTATTTATGTATTTCTCGCCCTTTTTTATTTTTTATTTATTTACTCAAGATTTTGTTACAAGGAAGAGTTCTTAGTGTTGTTTTGGAGCCACTTGTCTTCTCGCCAAACCAAAACCTAGCGGGTCTTAGAAGAGTAATTCAATAACCTCTGTCTTATATCCCCGCGTTTACACAAACATCACCACCACCATTATTATTGCTATTATTATTGTTTCTATTTTACTGATTTTGTTGTGACTGTTGCAAGAATTATTTTGACTCATTGAGTTTTCGCAGTATTCGTGGTGGCTTTATTAATGCTTTCTTTTGGATGGTTTCATATGTAAGATCTATCAATGACGAGGCTGGAAAATGGTCGATTCCTTGTACAGCTTCAGAAAGCTTTTTTACCCGAACTTCTGGACGATGACTTATTTTCCACCATAGAGTCTTTTCCCAGAGACGAAATATCACAAACCTATTGCTACTCTATCGCTATTTCCATGACTAATTTTCATAAGATCTACATTCCTTTATATTCAGACTTTTATAGTTAGAACCTGTCATGCCATGTAAATGAGATCTCTTTCATATTCCATTAGCAAGGAGGAAGTTCCAATATGATAGCTTCTTCCCGAGAACAGTAACCGTAATGTCTCCTCGTTGAGTGAATATTTATTAAAAATATTGCCTGGCAACATTTCCAAATATTCATTCAATTTCAGTTTTATTTTGATGGTATAGCAACATATTTTTTTCTGATAGACCTTCTGTTCCTTGTTCCCTGTTTAAAATAACTTTATCAATCTTCAGTTGGAATTGAGTGAGACATTCAAAAACTGATTTTATTACTATTTTTTTTTTTTTTTTGCTTATAACTTAGAAATGTATGCACCACTAATGTTATAAGTTCAAACAACGGATAACAGAGTAGATTAATATTCCATATGAATGCGTTTAACTTTTGCAACTTATTTAAAGCCAGAAATTATTATTACATTGTAAAAATTTGTGGGATATAAAAAAAGATTTATTGTTGCTGTTGTAATCTAGGAAGGGGTTCTGAATGAGGAATAACCAAAACGAAGGTGGGAAATGAAATGGTAATCTTTATAACATCAACAAAATACAATAGATACAAAATACAATAGATACAAAATACAATACTCGCCAGTGGTGGACTACTTAGACAGCATATTACCCTACTTACAATAGTGTCCAACGTATTTATAAGTATTCGGACATAACCATTAATGTTTATATATACGGTATATAACAGTTGCTAATTAACCCATAGCTGGGGGAGAAGAGGTAGATTCATATCTTCGCCAAGGATATTTGCGCATAAATGAATATATCGAAATTGACTAAAATTGGAACCCGCCTCTCTGATTTTCAGTTCTAAAACTTTATCTATTACTCCATACGCACATCCAGACTTACAGCACTGTTATTACCAAGTAGTCACTCATCCAGGCTCGACGTTGCTTAATTTCGCTTATCGTACTACAACCAGTGTTTCAACGTGATATGGCTGTAAGCATTCAGATTTAATGTTAATAATTGAAAAAAATCAATATGTAAAGAATCCCGCTATACTTGTGCGACATCTGACAATCTTTACTTGGAACGCTTCATACCTGTTAATTCTATAAAAGTCTAAATGTAGTCAGTGAAAATTATATCTGAAAATTATATCTGAAAATTATATAGCTAGAAAAGGATTTCAAAACCGTTTTCTATCAGTTATTTGCTGGATCTGGACAGAATAGTTCTATCGACATAATGATAAAGATAATTAACTGTTTTCCAACAACGTAACATTTGGCATTCATTGATCGAGCAACCGTTACTGCTTTCGGTTGAAATTTACAAAATCTTTCTCTTAAATCACTTTTATTAGAAACACAAATTTCTCAAGTTCAGTAGCTGTTAACACTCTTTCCAGTATTAATGGGGGTTTCCTTCCTACCCTTTTAATTTGAAGTAGTGTGGAATGTTAGCATCTTTATCATGTCATAGTTTTATCTTCGAGTTACATGTTCTATCCATTTTAGTTGTTGCCGCTGTTGGTAGTCCTCAAGTAATATGGTTTCTGTTATTCGGTACAGTTCTTTGCTTGTGATTCTGTAGCGCCAGTTCAAAACATTCAAATATGTGTGATCTTTGCTAAGACCCTAAAGCTTTATTCGCTCAAAGCCTTTTTCCCCATTGATCTTAGGAAGCAGTTGTATACAATTCACAGTCTAGATATTTCTAAATGGGTTTGGCGCCATGGATGACATCCATAGAAATGTCTTGATCTGACAAGGCTACTGAGAAACGTGATTCGAGTTGTCAGGTTGATGTTTTGATTTTGTTGCCGTTTGCAGTGTTGGGTGAAACTTCCTCCGGCACAACTTATTCTAGGTTCAATTTATTTTTCTACTATATTAAATTTGTTGTAGTCGATTTCTAAGCCGAAGTATCTGAAGTGTTTAGAATTTATTAATTTCATATCCTGAATTTTTATTATGGCTTAAAGCATCTTTGAAGTGGTTAAAAATTTACAATGCAAATCATGCTTGTATTCTGTAGTATTTAAAATATTTCAACACTTTGTTAATCGTGAAACGACTTTATATGAAACGCAACTAATACCAAAATGTTCACCTGACTATATTTGTCATTCAAGTAATCAGGAATAACAATTCTTCCCAGATGCTTTTCAAAAGCATGCTTGAAAAATTCAGACTTGTTTTTATAATTCTAATTCACATGGAAACTTTGAAGTTGTAATAGGAAACTTGACAATTTAAAGACACGAGAGAATTTTTGACGACCAAAAATGATGACTGAAAATAAACCTTTCCAAAACAGAAACTATGATCTGAAATTGGAATGAAACATTAATCGCGCATACATTGAATCCATCATAAAAATTCAGTATGTGGAATTAATAAATACTAAATACTTCAAATACCTCGGTGTATGGATCAGTTATAAATTTAGTGGATGAGAAATGAAAAACTGAATATAAAACAGATTGTGAAACAGGTAGTCTCACCCAAAACCGCAAATTGCTTCAAATCCAAAACAGCAACCTGAAAACTCGATATGTGCTTAAATAGCTTAGTCAGATCGATACTTTCATATGGATGACATGCATAACGCCAAACCTGTTCAAAAATATCCAAACTCTTAACCGATTTCTAAGATCGATGGTTAAAAATGGCATTGAGCGAGTGAAGTCTGAAGGTCCTGGCAAAAACCATCGTTCTTTGAAAATTGTAGACTAGCGCTACAAAATCACAAACAAAGAATTGTACCGAATATCACAGGAACCACACCACTTTAGGACTACCAACGTTAGCAACAAACTAAAATGGATAAATCGAAAAGAAAATTTATGAAATTGGTAAATGCTAAAATCTTCAAATACCTCGGTGTCTGGATCAGTTATAAGAATTTTAATGTAGGAGAAAGGGAAATTGAAAATAGAATAAGCAGCGCCAGTGTTAGTTTCGCTGACCACCGCAATTTACTGCAAAACTAAGGCATGAAACTTAACATTCGAGTCATGATGTTAAATAGCCTTGTCAGATCGAAACTTCCATATAGATATTATGCATGGTGCTAGACACGTTCAGAAATGTCAAAGCGTATACAACCACTTTCTAAGATCAATCAAATTGAACATGAAATAGTTTTCGCTTGTGGTAGTTTTCTTTTCCGACATCGGAACTACAAAATCAAAATATTAAGCTAAGAACTCGAATCATGTTCTTAAACAGCTTCGTCATATCGAAATGTTTTTATTGATGTCATGAATAGCACCCAACAAAAATGTTAAAAACTGTCAAGTGGATACAACTGCTTTTTCAGATCAATGATTAAAAATGGCTTCAAGCTAATTAAGCCTGTAGGTTTAGCGAGAAATATCCTTCCTCGAACGTCGCGAATTGGCGCTACAGAATCACAAACAAAACACAGAAAGCAAATCACTTGAAGACTTTCAACAGCAACAACAACTAAAATGGATAGCACTTGTAAGTCGAAAACAAAATAATCATATGATAAAGTTGACGTTCGATATCAAACAAAATGTTATGAAGTAATACCCACTCCCATCTATTCTGGAAAGTGGAATAACAGTATTGAGAAAACAATTTTCCTAAAAAATTGTTTTAATAGAAATATTTGATAAATTCCAACCGACTATTGCACTTACCTCCTGCTAAGTGTATGCCGAATATTTCCTTATAAGGAAACGGTGAATACTACCGTTGCCATTTTGCATCTAAAAACTTGTTCGGAGAATCCTCTCGCCAATTTCCACAGCACAGTATATTTATACCCAGCTCCAAGAAGCAATTCCAATACACCCACTGTATTTACATCAACCTACGCACATGGACAAATTCAACATCAATTGCTTCCTAAGGAACATTCACAATCCAAATCCATCGCCATAATGATTGATTGATTCGTTTCCTACGATTTATCAACCCTTTGCAGGTTACTTAAAGCCAGAAAATATTTTTAGATTGGGGAGGGTTAATAATGGTTTAGTGATACAGTTTTTACTAATTAATCCATAGCTGGGAGAAGAAAAGTTGGCTTCATAACTTTACCAAGGGTATTTACGCGTAAGTGAAAATAACGAAGCCAACTGGAATTGGAACTCGTCACTCCGATTAACAATTCAGAGCCGTTATCCATTACACCATCCGCACATCCAAGCTTACAGCACCTGATATTCCCAAGTGAACATCCACCTAGGTACTGACGAGGTTCAACGTTGTTTAACTTCGGTGATCCTACGAGAACCGGTGTTTCAACGTGACGTAGCCGTAAGGCTAAAACAATAAAAACTGCAGATTCAAAAATAAAATGCACAATGAAATAGATAATTTTGAGAAAGACAAATTGAATATTATCAGGCGCATAACATTTTAGGAGAACGTAGACGAATTCCAAAGAAGATATGAATAAGATTCTTTTAAAAATCACGAACATGTTTGTTCTCACCACGATAAACCTAGAAACATATTGTATTGCCTCTCTATACGCGCCAGACTGCGTACACCAGACAGCTAAATACCTTACGACAATGAAAACCCCGAAAACAACTAGAAACAGATTGTTATTCATTCTTACTTATTGGCTTACGATAGTGTGTGGAGTACCAACTTGTCCAACTTATACGTCTTTCCTATGCTGTACAGGTGACGTCTGTTTGCTTCGTAAGAAACCTGGAAGCGTTCGGCAAGCTCCCCACTAGTTTGGCTGTTGTTTTCCTCTATAACCGCCTTCAGGGCCTCATCACCCAGGACCTGTGGCCGGCCACTCCGGGGTTCATCACAAAGGGACAGACCTCCCGAATCTGAAATTCTGGAACCAAAACCTGGCAGTGCTTTCACTCACAACATTATCCCAACGGCTTGACTTATTCGGCGACTTGATGCGGCTGCAGACAAGCTCACCTTAAAGTCATAAAGAAAACAACCCCAAGCTAGCTGCTTCGACACCGACATGTTTCCTCGCTCGCCACTGCTCGTGCTATGGCTGATGTATGTACGCAACGCACTTGAATCGGACAAGTGCAATACCACAACATTCACCGTTTTCCCGACAGGAATCCCATAAGTTAAATCTGCTGTAAGTAAAGATAAATTCTAAACGGTGATGAATTAACAAAATTAATGAAAAAAAATTGGTAAAGATTATAAAATGTCAAATAATCCATAACACCATGCCTACTAAATGGTAACTGCCTAGCAACTCGCGTAATATACAAAGGTATTAAAATATCCAATGGAAAACTAACGAAAATGTATATAAATAACAGAAGATCACTGGGAACAGTGAAGCTACTCAAACAAAAATCACTTAACAATTGCAATTATGCAAATGTTTCTTAAGGATAGTTTGTTTTTTATATATGGTCTAGTATGTTAATCAGTTAGTATCGCTCATAAGCGATAAATCGAAAGGATGATTCCCTGATTACAAAATCTTAAACTTTTCAATTCTAGAAATAACTGTTATCTGTCCTATACATCAACATGCTCTGTACTTGCATCCTGCCATTACATCCATACAACAACCTCACCGAGTAACCCACTACCTTGAGTGGATCTTGGGCCTTGCATTAAAGGGATATTTAATTTAAAAAAAAAACAATTACCCGGTGCCAGTTTTTAATAACAATTTCATTTTCTTCTCGTCCAAACATGCCAGGATTTTATTATTTCTAATGGAGCATTTTAATGCAAACACGGATACTATAGACAACTTGGGAATACCAGGCACTGTAAGCTTGGATGTGCGGGTGGTGAAATGGATAATGGTTCGGAATTTTTAATCGAAGAATTGAGTTCCAATTCTAGTTGGGTGCGTATATATTCACCTACGCGCAAATACCCCTGGAAAAGATATGAATCTATCTCTTCTTTCCCCAGATATGGGTTAATTAGGATAAATTGTATTACTAAAACCATTATTATCTTAAAAAAGTAAAAGAAAATTGCGTCAAAAATATTTAGATTTCGACATTAAATAACCCATGGAGGTTGATATGCCTCTAAACATAACCAACAGATTACCAATCTGTCATTGAAAACCTGTAATCAAAATTTGGAATATTTAGTGACCCAAAAATAAGTGTTCGCCTGCGAAAGAAGTTATTTAAAAGCAATATCTGGTGTAACCGCCTTTAATTTTTTTTTTAAAAATACTGCTTTTCATTGTTATATCATTAAGATCATAACATTCCCGCAAATAGTCATTGGAATGTTCTCCACTCCGACAGCAGTCATATAGATCTATGTTAGTGGCTTGCTGTCGCTTTTCTTCGTTCTGTTTAAGAACATTTCATAATTGTTCGGCTGCATTTAACTCCGATGATACGCGTGGTCAATCTAGCACATTTACCGTTGGCTTCTTCAGAAACTCTGTTGTTTTCTTAGCCGAATGTTTTGCGTCATTAACACGCTGGAACTGAGCTCTTCACCCCAAGCGCTTGTGTGAAGGCAATAGGTTTTCTTTCAATATTTTAATGTAATCTTCAATATTAGTGCTTCTGTTGATGGCATGCGGCTCAACAGCGTCATTAGAGCTCATACAATCCCAGGCTCTCTGTTGAAACCAAACATTCTTCATTGGTCGTCATTATGACGCCACTAAACATTCTGGATGCCGTCAGACCCAAGTAGCTTGATTTTTCTTTGATTTGAACACAGTGTCCTCTTCCTGGTTGCATGTATCAGTTTCTTTCTTTTTCTTAACTTCTATATATATATGTATATGTGTGTGTGTGTGTGTTATGGCCAGAGTTCTTACAACGTTTCACCATTCTCGGACAGATCTTCTAATTTCACAATGCGTGATATTTAATAACAAAAGTTATGGAAATATAAACAAATGGAAAAGAATCTAATTTAGGGACCTACACCAAATATACTAAAATTTAAAATGAATTAATTTTAAAAATGAAAAAGCATGGTTGAAGCTTTTTTTTTTAGCTTTAATTAAAAGCTAAATGATTAAAATTACTATTTTCAGTAAATAGAAATAGAAATTATATTGATTGGAATCTCAACATTTTGGTCGCTTTCAGAAAATCGATAAAAATCGATAAATATTGGCTATTTTGAAAGATTGTAAACAAATGTTAATTCACGGTTTTAAAAACCGTCCAAAAATAAAATATATTTTTGTGACACGTTATTTGAGGAAAATTAGCAAATTTAAAGTCAAATTAATCTGATTTGAACAAATATTATTTCCTTATAACATAAAACATAGTATACAAGCATTTCTTAACCTCAGGTTCTTGTTTTTCTGACGTGTTAATCGATTGATTGGTAGACTTATGTGTTGAAAACTAAGTATTTTCAGCAATTATCTAATATTTTATTGAATTTTAGTTAGCTTCAGCCTTGAGTTTTTATTAAAATAACTCTCACAAAAACGAATAAACTTTAAAAAAGTAAAATGTAAATAACTACTAACAAAATAAAATTACTTAATTGAAGTATGACCCAGACTAAAATAAATACGTAAAATAAAAATATTTAATGAAATAGGAATTAAAAAAAGTATTATTTTAAATTTCACACTTTAAAATTTTGAAGGGGTGATTTGCAAAGCCTACTGAGACGTAAACACAATGAAACACAGAAATGAATATGAAAAAACTGCAGACGGCTGTTTTTTCAGCAAGCAAGCGGAGGTGCCTAATCTAAATGATACTGGATAGATTATATACTCAAAACACATAAGCTTTTTTTTAAATTGATTTTAAATTTAAAATTCTCAGTGCATCTCGTTTATGTGTTTGTGTAGCCGTACCACCGTGAACATAAATTAGTCCAATAAATGTCTTAAGGACGAAACGCCTTACACAAAAAATCTTTTTCCATTTTATCATACCTCTTTTCTTTAAAATATTGTTCTTAATATATAAAAAAATGGTATACCATTATCTCATATATATATATATATATATATATATATATATATATATATATATATATATATATATATGCGTGTGTGTTTTGTGTGTACAGAATGTAGAGAAAAGCTCCCTATTACAAATTACTTATAACTTTTATTAATATCACCACATTTGCATGAAATAACATATATTGTGATCCCAAAATGGTAGGATTTTCTTTGTTACTTTCTGTTTCTATTTCATAATGACAGGTGTAACCAAGAATGGCACAATGCATGAGACTGCATGAGCGTGATCAGCTAGCATCTCTTTACGAAGTGTGAGAGTCCGTGTTACAAGAGCAGAGATGGTGGTGCAGTGATCATGGACATCGTGATTCAGTAGATAACAAAACCATTAGAAATTTTAATTCCAAACAGATGAGTACGGGTCTGGGGGGGATACCTATAGAAGCAATCATCTTTCAACATAAAAATTGCCATTATATTGTTCAAAGTAAAAAAAAACATATGAAAATCGACCAACAATTAATAAAGTTATTACAAATTTTAAATAGGGATGTTCGTTGCACTTAACCTGTTTATATTCAGACAAAGTTAAGAATCTTTTTTTAGTGACAGTGCGTTTCACCTTCAGGTGTTAAGTTGGTGTATTCGGGTCAGAATGAAATAAAAAAATGAGATCTGAAGACGCCAACCAAGAACACAGAGTCGAAACGTTACTAAAAAGGCTTTTTCACTTTGTCTCATTTCTCCATTTTTGTTCTGATACTCTTCTACATTATATTAACACACACACCATACGCACACATACACACACACACCATACACACACATATGTGTGGAGGTGTGTGGGATGGGTGTAAATGAATGACAAAATAATGGAATTACTTAGTAACGAGTTCCGTTCTAAGAAGGAACTTCCTCAAATGACGGTTTTATTAATGGAATCAGTCTCCTATATAAAAAGAATATTCTAAATTGCAGGAAAAACTCCAGCTACAGTTTACGTCGTAACTGTAGAGATAGAACGAAGATTTGAATTTAAAATTTAACGTCCAACTTTTATATAAAATTTTTATTGTCCAAATTTTTATATAACAAATTTATTATCCAACTTTTGTATGACAGGATATTGTCCAAATTTTTAAATAACAGTTTTATTAACCAACTTTGTATATGACAGTTTTATTATTGTTCAACTTTTTATAGCAGTTTAATTATCCAAATTTTTATATGGCAGTTTATTGTCCAACTTTTATATAACAGTTTTATTGTCCAACTTTTTATATGACAGTTTTGGTGAATAGATTCCATCAATAAATTTGTTATTAGTTTTATTGTTGTTAAATGCATCACGATGAAGTTTCATTTTTTGTATATTTTGTCATTCACTTATTAGTCAGAAATAAATACTTTTATATTTTCGTAGATAGATAGATAGATAGATAGATAGATAGATAGATAGATAGATAGATACTAATAGACCAATATATATATATATAGAGAGAGAGAGAGAGAGAATAGTGAACATGTACCCGTTTATTCAACACTCCATTCTGTATAAATTAAATAAGATTGAAGAATATGATTTCTCCCATTTCTTGCTTGAGAATTGGCGAAAGTGAAATAATACTGTAAACATGAGAACGTATATTGACGGCGAAATGTCTGTTTGCATGTTTTCAAGCGTTTAAGTGCAGAGCCATATAAGATTACAGAGTGAGTGTGCTTAGAGAAGTATGAACTATTATTGTTTTCAAAATGATTCAACGCATATTCATTTCCCAGTGAGAGAGAGAAATAAGTGTTTATATTTTTGGTCTGACAAGAAATGCCTTTCATTTATTCAGACATTTATTTATTTATTTTTGTAATTAATGCACTCTCTGTCTTGGAAACTTAAAAGTGTCTCGCTCACTTGATTTAAACCAGCTGACATCTTTTAAAAATGAAAAAAGAGAAAGATTGAATTTTTTACTTGTTAAAATTGGAAAATATTTCAAGTGAAACAAACTTTGAAAACAGGTTTAAAAACAAAAGATGCAAACAAACGTAGAGATTGGACAGAATAGACGAATATACACCGACTAATGTATGTTTGAGTGGATAGGCAGTTAACTGGATAACGGGGAATTTACTATTGTTACACACACAAAAGCACACACATATATATATATATATATATATATATATATATATATATATGTTTGTATGTATGTATGTACTAATAATAGTGACGATTTTAAAATTTAATTTACTACTGGATATTGCCGTCCACAAAATTTTCTAAAAATCGTTTTAAAGCAGGCCACATAATAATAATAATAATAATAATAATAATAATAATAATAATAATAATAATATAGAATAATCTAAACCAAACATTCACGCAATTTCTGTGTCATATGTAATTTATATGTCAAATTTGGAAAGCATCGGATGAAAAATCAGGGATTTATAGTCAAAAAACAGTTTTTCGTGGTTTTTCGTTATACGCGGGGAAGCGAGCAGTAAAATTATAACCAATGATTTTACATCATAAGTATGTGACGTTGCCCGCTTTCATTTCTGACCAGTGACTATCCATTTCGTCCTGATTTCCAATGCCAATCAAACAGCGTGCGGAAACAGTCTCTAATTATTTAACCCCGTCCTTTCAAAAGAAATTCCATTTAATTCCTTGCTTGGCTAGTTCAAATCTTTAATTACAGTTAGTTTACGATCGGTCGTTTCGACAGTGAACATTCTACCTTGTGATTTTCGCTGAAATCGGTTTAGTCTTACTTCATTACTCGAATTAAACTTGGTCTGCTTATTTGATAGTCCGATGTCTTGTATGTACGCTGAATGATTTGTTTCAAATTCGGCTGACAAAGTGTCGTGGAAGCTAAACAAAACAGAAAACAAATCAACTCAACCATTTGATCAAACTAAAATAGTAAATACTTCAATAGATTATACGATGTATGGAAGGACTTTGATTTAAAATGCACAAAAGAGAAACGGAATTCAACGCAAAGTGAACAAGTTAAATTATAAGACGAAACTAAACAAAATAACGAAGCCAACTAACGAAAGAAAAGACGAAATAATGATTTGTGTTCGGATTAGACTTGAAATGAAACACTGGCGTTCTTTCACTAAACGAAGGATGTGTCGTCTCACCATATTTATTCAACGTATACAGTGAGGCAATTCTAGGAGAACTAGAAGTCCTACCAGGATTCATTATTGGCAGCCACAATCTTAACAACATAAGTGTTATAGTAATTTACCAACGCATGCATGGACTCTCCCAGCTATAAATAGGAGCAGGTACTGCCTTTTGGGGAGGGAAGTTTCCAGCAGTCAGCTCTGACAGTCGAACCGAACATTCTTGCTGTAACAATCTCGTTTGTATATGTTTGTATTACTGTTTCTATTGATATATTTGTTTAAATCAATTCCTCTCTTGTGTCTATATTTCTGGCCCTAACAAGGCAACAACTATAAGATATGAAGATGACACAGTGTTGATAACAGACACAGGAAGAAAACTATAAGAACTCATATAGAAAATAGTGAAGGAAAACTAGAAGAAAAAACAGAACATCAATTGCAAGAAGACACAATGCATAGTTGTCAGCAAAAGGAACAGCCCGGCATATAAAATTATGAATTGAAGATACAAATATCAAGTAAATACAATTTAAATATCTGGAAAGCGTTTTAGCAGAAGATGGAAAGTGCGTCACCAAAATTTGAAGTTTCATTGGGATAGCAAAAGCTGCCTTCCAAAAGCTAATCAAAGTATTAAGAAACAAAAAATCATAAGAAACAAAGAATAGATTACTGAAATGTTATATAATATCACTCCTCCGAATGCTGTACCCTATCGGCACAAATGAAAAAGAAACTTTAAGCGGTAGAAATGGGGTTCTACAGAAGGATGCTGAGAATACCATCGACTGAACACATGAGCAATGACGAAGTTTTAGAGAAAATGGGAAAAAAGGCACATAGCTAACATCAGAATGCGGCAGTTGAAGGCACATAATGAGGAAAGAGTGCTTAGAAAATTTGACACTTACAAGATATATTGGAGGCAAAAGAGATATAGAAAAGCAGAGCATAACCTACCCAACGAGCTTGTGTATATGGATGGCGGAATAGGCTTTAGGAGAGATAGCAAAAAAAGACAAAATTTACTAAGAACCAAAAAGGGCAAAAAAAAAAGGAAATTGAGGAGAGCCATAATCTTTAAGGTCCTGAAGGAGATCTATTAAACATAGTCTTATATATTTCCATTTATTTCTTATGAGCGATTTCCTCGTTTCTCGATGTTCCTGACATACGTTTTTGTATCCTTGGAATATACTTAAATATATTTGCCGTCGATATTTAACGCCCTTATAGTCCGAACTCTTTAATCCGGCATACTGAGTACAAGACCATTACCGGACCATAGAATAATCAGAATTAAAGTAATCAACCTTAAAAAATCCTATGTAAACATAGTCTTGCCAGCTCATTGCACATATACATTATTGTGTTATCAAAGGCAGAACAAAACTTAAAACAGAAAATAAAACAATCAGTAATGCTTCGAAACAAGTTTTTATTGTTTCTTACAATACAAGAGCTACAAAAAGGCCAATGCCAAAAAATAATATATACTTACTATTCAGAATGGGTAAATATGAAGTTATATATAAGAAATATATCACCAAAACACTGCTACTGACGACTGTTGCAGGAAATTGTAAACAACGTGTGGTGCATTCTTTGTAGCTCAACAAACTAATGGCGTCTAATAAAGAATGATAACGGATCAAGGGAGTCACCGGACTAAAGATTGCCTGATTAAATGGATAGTAGTCAATATTTTATTCTGAAATGAAATGGAGAGAAAAAGAGGTTAAAGATAGACACGGATTTTCCTTATTGTAAAGCTTTCTTTTTATTTAAAATCGCCTAACAGGTCACAAGATTCTATAACATCTATTCCTTTTAATCAAGTCATTTCACCGAATGACAAATCCATTAATCACGCCAACCATAATCATCTTTGGTCTAGTCACATTGCTCATTGTATTGCAGTACCAAATAGATGCCGTGTGATAAAGGTTAACGGGCGAGTTTACGACAGATTTTCCCAAGAAAGGCGTCGCAAAAAACTTCAGTGGCTGAGTGGGGAGTGACGAATGCAAACGAGAATTTTTTTTTTTCATTTTTATATTCTTTAGGGTCATGTTTATTGTAATTTTACCTGCAAATATAAAACTTTGCTATTCAAAATGTAAATAAATCTACAAATTTAAAATTTAAATATAACCGTGCCGAAAAATCCCGTCATAGTAAAATAATGACACAAGTTTTTCTATTTGAATTTCACGTGATTACGAAACAACCACAGTGACTACCGCCTAATGATTTCAGACATCGGGACAGTCACGGTGACTCCTAGCCTCTAAAGCATTTTGCATAACAGAAAAGTACTATTTTTAGTACAATATTTACCTTCATATTACTCGATTTTTACGAAAGCTATTGTAATTTGCATTTTAATTACAAGTTTTTTTGCATCATGCACTCGCACGCGTAGCAAAGAGACAGAATAAGAAAGACGGAAATTTGGTTCTACAGAAAGATGCTGAGGATTGGCTGAACATATGAGCAACAACTAGATTTTAGAGAAAAAAGAAACAAAAAGGAAACTTGTACTTAACATCAGGAAGAGGCAGTTGAAATTTCTGAGGCACTTAATGCGGAAGGAGGGTTCGGAAAATCTGATACTCACAAGAAAGATTGGGGGGGGAAAGGGACAGAAGAAAGCAGCGCGTAACATACTTGATGGGTTTGAGTAAATGGATGGAATAACAGGGTTTGTGAGAAATAACAAGACAAAACGTATTAAGAGATAAAAGGAACAGGAAGACGTGAAGGGCCATGATCACTTACGGGACACGGCACATAAAAACAGAAGAGTCGCAACAAATTTCTTTTAGCAAATGAGTGTCGGAATTCAAAAATTTTGGAAAAGTCTGGTTTAGTAGACCACTACAAGTACAGGCTGAAATGGATAAATTGTCGTCTAAATTATGCAAAAATGAAAATAACACTGACATCTCATTTTTACAGATATATTTACCAAAATGACATAAAAATATATTGAAGTACTAAAGAGTAAATGTATTCGATAAAATTGTCATTGGCTTCAACCACGACCTCCAGACAACTTTGGAATCTCCTGCATCTCTTCTGGGCTGTCTCCTTGTTTAAGTTGTAAAATGCTGCCAAAATCTTTGCCTTCAGCTAATCTTTGGTATTACCAGGAGTTTTGTTGGTCTCTCGCTCAGCTGTTCCCTAAACATAATAATCAAGTGAGGTGCAGCGTGGAGATGTAATGGGTGATGTAGTCGCAGACATTATCTGGCAGCCATTATTGGGTTCTCCTGTTTGTTTTGCATGGTGCAGAGTCCTTTTGCCAAACATAAGGTTTTCCAGCAGGTATCATCTTGACCTAGGGCAACACTACCTCCTTAAGGCACTTGATGTAGGCCTCCGTGTTGAGCCTGTGGCAATCACTAACAAATTCAGGAGTTCTTTTCTTATCAGAACAATCAGGGTGAATTTTCTAAGCTGCCGTACCCTCGTAATCACCATTAGACTCATTCAACTTTTTTCCGAATCCTCTGCGCTGTCCTCATCTTAACACCCAAACACTCTGAAATTGGATTATCCGGGACGGAAGTTGAACAGTCCAGCATACATTTTCCAAATTTTTGGCGGAGTGAATTGCATCATAGTGCTCTTTTTCTCACAGACAGTACCCAACCGACTCTATTATGCTGTGCAGTAACAAAATTAAAAACAATTAATGCACATGCACGAAATTAAAAATATAAAATGGGCAACAATTTACCCATCGCACTTTGTACATAGTGAGCTGAACTTTTATGAGATGTCTTGTGCCAGACTAAATTAAACTTAGTAAATACCTCTATGGATATTCAGTTGCCAAATATCTTTAAAACTTATTTGTCTCTCATTCATTATGTACATCTTATTGCAATAATTGAAACTGTGATACTCTAATGAAGAACGTATTGCCAACTGCTATTATCAGAAGTGGAGTCTTTCCGGAAGAAATGGATGTTTTTGACTGTTAAGCTTATTTTGAATGTGAACAAATAGTGATTCCTAACAAGCAATTTATTTCAGAACTGTCTTTTCGTTATCAATAGAAAAAATTCTTTCATCATCTGACCTTTTTTTTGAGATTTTTTTCTAGGCTGATTCTATCAGTAGAAGATTAATCCTGCAGTTGAATTCATTTAAGAATTGAATTTAAAACAACGTTTCCTTACAGCAGGGATAAAAAAAAAATAGGACAAACTCCATGAGTACAGCATATTTTGGAGAATTATATGTCGCAAAAGTATGTTTTCAACTGACAAAAGAGAGAGCTGCATATCAACTACGTATGGGTCATTTAATGCCTAAATTTAATTTTCTTGTGAGTTTTATTTACAAAAATGTATTGCTGGTATTTTTACTATGAAAAAATGTTTTCATACTTTCATAGTGTTTTGACCCCAGTTTGGGGAGTTAACTATTTGCCCGTAGCTGGGACCCGAACAGGTGCTACCACCCCGAGTCAGAGTGGACCTGGGAACAACAGCAATTAAGAGGTTGTTCTACGCTCCTCAAAACCTCCTGATCAGAGCCCTACTGCCGGATGTAATTTATTATCATACCCAGGACAGCTGACATTAAAAGTACCTGTTTGTATGTTAATGGTTAGAGGGGTAATGTACTTGACTATTACAATTCAGCTGTAAGTTCGATCCTCATTAAGTGTCTTACATATTTAGCCATGTGCCAAACTTAGCAAATATATAATGACGAGTAACGCCTTTTTATAATCACTAGTAAACAATCATTAATTCATTTTAGTACGACTCTCAAGCAATAAATATTCTATAATCACCAGAAGACGAATGCGACCCCCTGATGTCTCTCGCGGAAGCTTGCGCATTATTATGCCTCTTGGTCTCAAGGCTACACTTTGGTTCAGGGTTTCAGCGAACAATAGAAGAGTTTATTTCAGTCGAATAATGGCGACACTTTATACAAGTGCAGATTTCTTGCGGAAAAGATTTCTCCTTGTATGATAGCAAAGAAAACAATTTAAGAAACTACTCTCTTGCAAAAGGCACAAACGTCGATGACTTTATCTTTCGCTAGCTATCTTATTACGGTAGGGAATGGAAATTATGCATGACGTCACCACTACCACTTGACTCAAGTTTAGATCTAAGAGGGTATTCATAACAAAATGGTTGTTTTTTTGCTTAGTCTGTCTTTAACTTGGTGAATACTTTCTGCTCTCGCTATTGCTGCTGCTGCAAAAACCTCTTCATTCGAACAGTATATTATAGTAAACACTATAATAATATCTGGGATGGGGTTAGTACTAAAAGCCAACGAGTAAATTATATTGTACATTATACTCCTTGTTCTATTAGTATTAGACTGCGCTAAAGGTATTGGGTTGGTGCATAATTATCAGGCATTTTTGTAGGCGAGTTATTTGTTAATAAAAATTCTTTTTTTTTTGTTTACTTTTGTAATAAAAATATTATTTTATTTTCAGGTTATAAAAATGCGTGTCGATAATGATATTCATTTAAAAATGTGATTGTTTAATTGTTATGTTTCTTTTTTCATAATAAATATTGTTTAAAAACCGCCTGATAATTTTGCACCAACCCAGTAGTTTCGCCGAACGTCGCAAATTGCCACAAAACCAAAATATTGACTTAAGAACTCGAGTCATGTTCATGTTGTGGTCAAGATCATAGGTTGAAATATATTTAGACATGATGTGAACTTTTCCTTAATCAAGTAAAAGAACAAAGAGATTTGGGTATTCTAATAATGCGTTATTTATGTCGAAGATCACATATTTCTGAAATCGTAAGGAAATATAATCAAAAAATAGGTGTGATTAAATGTAGCTTTACGAAAATGGAATAATGAATCAATAAAAAATTATTAATTTAAAATTACAGAAATGTTTTAATTTATTAATATCTTCACTTATATAAAGAGTACAGCAAATTATTTATCAAAAAATGTGTTGAACAGCCACGATTCTAGGTGATTTTACATTAATGAGATGATTTACTTGGGATCTATCCTTGGACCTACGCTGTCTCTTTAACAACTTTCTCGGTGTCATCAGTTCCCAACTACGTAATTATGCTGATGTCGCAAATATTTACTCCTGTCTTGTAAGTGCAAAAGATCAAACAAAGTAAAACTGGCAGCTTCTCTCAAAAAGTACCTCTAATCAGTTAGCTGGGGCAAAAATAGTTTGTAAATTTTAACGCTTCCAAATTGAAACTGCCATCCTTTAATCACCATAGAAAACCGTTTATGTCTTCCATCAGCAGACTGATGTTAATCTCCAGGAGCGTGATTAACGTCTTGGTATCACGCTTTCTATTTACATCAAGTAGAACAATTATATTGAATCAATTGCTACTGCTAAGAAGGTTTGTACACGGTTACGTTTTAGACAATTTTTTCACGTTAGAATCTATCTTGCACATTTATAAATCTACTATTCGTTAGTGCATTGAATATTGCTACCAAATCTGGTCTGGTGCTCCTGCTATATATTTCGAGATTCTCGACAAAATCCAAAGAGTCTGTAATGTTATCGGACCTTATCTGGCATTTCCACTTCAGTCACTTGTCCACCGGCGTGATATAGCTTTCCTCTGTCTTCTCTCTAAATATTTCCATGGTAGGATTTTCTCCTTGATATCTCAGTATCTCGACCGCGTGAATTCAAGCGTACTACTAGATGGGCTACATTGTTTTATTGTTGAAATAGGTAGATGTAACTAAGTATGTCTATTCTAATACCTTCTTTTCTTGCACTTCTCACATCTGGAAATCACTTCCGGTTTCATGCTTCTATGTCACTTACAACCTACTTAAATATAGATGCAACGTTAATTGCCATCTTCTGTCTTCCGGAACCCTGTTCTTATATTGTCCTTTCTCCTCACTAAATCTTATAATTCTCTTCCAGTCCCAGTAGCCATTTGCGTATTAGTGGCATTAACGCTTTGTTTGAGGTGAAATAATCAAAAACAATAATTTCTTGTTACACACTGGATCATAATATATATATTGTTTTAAGGATCATAATATATATATTGTTTTAAGGATCATAATATATATATTGTTTTAAGGATCATAATATATATATTGTTTTAAGGATCAAAACCTTTGGAGTTTTAAACTTTCAGCGGAACAGGCATACACACAAAAATATACAACACTTTCTTTATGTAAATATTTATATAGTGACAAAATTTAAATTGTAATGATTATTGTAATAAATTAATTTTCGCCAGGATTAAATAATTTTATTATTATTATTATTATTATTATTATTATTGTGTTTTTTGTCTATATTTCTGAGATGAGGTATTGTAACTAATGCCTAGATATCTCAGTTTCAGTCAATTCCCCTTAGTAACTCAACTTTGAAAATTGCATTGCACGTGGAGTTAGAACAATCTACTCCAGTGGACTAAATTCCAACGTATATCACCTGAAGAAGGTCGGAGTGTACAACGGCCGAAACATTGTGAATATGGCAATAAAGATAAGGGCAACAGTTTGAACGATGTAAATAGTGTAAATATTATTTTTATCGTGAATTTGTGCAATACTGGTGATAATTTAATGCAAGGGTAACACCAGGTAGTCCTGCTAGTGCAGTTTAAATTATTACACACCAATTAATAATGATAAAAATTTTCCAAATTCTTTTCTCGCATAAGTTTCTTTAATCATTTAACATTGTTGTTTTAAGAACAAAATTTCTAACTTGACATGAATGTGAATTGTTTCAGTTCTGTTTTAGTTCGAGTACCACAAAGATCAGAGTCAAATTAATTCTTGCTTCTGCGAGAATTCATGCTGAATAGTTTAAAACATTTGTTCTTTTATTTCAATTGAGGCCAATCTTCTATTCCCTTGGTGTGAATCACCTGTCGCTTTAAAGTAAAAAAAAAAACAAAACAAAAACTGATCTCTCGATCGCCAGTCTGCTGAGTTAGTTAGCCTCGGCTAATTATAGATTCAAAGGAAGAAGTGTTTTTTTAGAAAGAAGATAAATCCCAATCAGGCACTTAGCAAGAATTTTGCGTATAGTGTGCATACGTGTGTGATGGATAGATAGATAAATAGATAAATAGAAAGAAAGAAAGAAAGAAAGAAAGAAAGAAAGAAAGAAAGAAAGAAATGCATATATTATGATAGATATGCACAGACTGAGATAGATAGATAGATAGATAGATAGATAGATAGATAGATAGATAGATATAGATAGATAGATAGATAGATAGATAGATATGGGCACTTAGATAGATAGATAGATAGATAGATAGATAGATAGATAGATAGATAGATAGATAGATAGATAGATAGAAAGAAAGAAAGAAAGAAATGCACATATTGTGATAGATATGCACAGTGAGATAGATAGATATGAACACATAGATAGATAGATAGATAGATAGATAGATACATACATACATACATACATACATACATACATACATGCATATTGTTTCTTACTAGCTTAGTAATTAATAAACAATACAAATATTATCTTCAAACTTTATGCTACGCTGACCATGATTTTGAAGATTGTATGTGTCTCAAAGACAAAGAAGAAAGTGCTTACAGATAATGAAAATTCAGAAAGCGGCGACCTGACAACACCCATGTGCTACTGTCTTCTCCCTGTGCTTGCAGCTACCGTTACTATACAAATTGTTGCTGCGGCTTTCTCGGTCAAGGTTCGTCGCTTTTGTAAATGACTGGTCACCTGGAACCGGTAGACACTTCGAAACAAGTCATACCAAACTGTCCAGGCGGCCATGTTCCGTGTCCCATGAGTCTTAAGACAGTCAGTCATTTGGAGCTAGTGGAGGTAAATTAACATCATGGAAGTCACGCGAACCTGTACCGACAGCTAACTCAATAAGAAACTTTGGATGGGTCGACTAATATAAAAGCGTTTGTGTGCGTGCAAATGTTTCTCTTAGAGTATGAGCGATAAAATTAGTGCAGACGTTTGCCAGAGATTTGTTTTTGTGTGTATATGACTGGATGGGAAACGGCAAGACTTACTGTAAAATATTACTTGTTTGTATGTATCTGTACACAAAAGTGCGTGCAAATAAAGAGGACTTTCACTAATATGCGTGTACACTATTATTAAGGAAATGCCGCTGGCTACCGTACCACTTATATAAGAGTACAACATGGCAAAAAAATACGTTCCAGAAATAAAGACTTATATGGCTTTCAGTTGAATATAATTCTGTTTAACCCTTTTATTGATACGACATGCTTCTGTCCTCTCAGAATACCACGAAAAATATTCATAACAAAAAATATTTTATTTTCCTTCGTGGCACAGCTTATATTGGCAGGATGGTAAATTAATGAAACGATAATCATGGTTACCGTTTAGCCTGGCCAATATTTACTAATTTGTAAGAGTCAATACGGCCAAAACCAAACACCTAACGTTCCAACAAGCAGACCCCGAAATTCCACCTATCCTCTTGGATGATTGCTCTCTCAAAGAGTGAAAGATCAAAGAGAAATTGTTTGTCAATGGTCAAGAATGAAAGAATTATTATTGATAGAATATAACTATGAACTGTATAACGCCGATGTATTGCCAATGATTTTACAAAAGAACGTATCGAAAACCAGAAATAAAGAGACTGTCACTACCCAAACAAATATTACTGACAGGATATGATTATTATATGTATAACGTCAAATGCTTTTAGAATAGAAATGCATTGAAAATGAGAAAGAGACTAAAATGAAAGATTATTTTTCTGACTGAATTGCGCCATTATATAATTATGTATAATAGCAACGCAATGCCAATGATTTTACTGTAGAAATGCATTGAAAGCATGTTTTAGAGATACATAAAAATCAGAAAGAAATTAAATGTGGTCAAGAATAGTGAGTGTTATATAGGAATAAAGTGTCGCTGCCGATACTTGAATTTGAACATAGATCGCCATTGAGCAAACACAGGCGATCTCATTATTCAAGTAGACCACGTCACCCTAAAGGAAACACCTATATAGGAAGTCACGTGACGCATAAATGATCTGCTGTTTCTACCCTATCCTTTATTACTATACAGACCGCTATTCTCTACTCTATTTACTATACTATTTCTCTATTCCGATCACTATTCGGTGATTACTATTAGAGCGAGAATTATCAAGCAAGTCCTATTAGTGCGAGTGCTATTCGAATGCTTGTGACAGCAGTATTGTTCAACGGCGTTACTATAGCTGCGATTACAAAGTCTCTACGAGCATTACGAAAGTGACAACAAGTGTTCGTTGACATCACAAAAGTGAGAGAATAAGGCTATTTTATGTATTATATCAATATATAGATATAAATTTTCTTATATAAAACATTTCAGATAACATTAACTTACATATGTAATACATATTATTTTACTATAGAAAAAAATAAAATAGAGAAAGAATTTTCAGCAGTAATGAATTCAGTCAAATAAGTCGCATACATGATACACGCTTGGGCGATCAAGTCTTTTTCGTTTCATGACAGACTGGGTAGAAGATTTCCCGCAGTAGTTTGCTGTTTCTGCAATAAACTGGTTGCCAACCAAGGCTAAAGGAGCCAGCAGGTAGGGTTATAGTCAGGGAGATTTGCTATCTACTGCCAGTAATAAAATAAAAATGATAGTAAAATATAATTCTACGGTACCCAACACTTCAGTTCAGTGTTATACAGCCGCACCAATTCGCACGCTTTTCAAAGGATAAAATCTATTTCGAACGCCATCAACTTTCGTCTTCACGCCAGGATGAATTCGAATCAGAGAGAAACTGGCGCTGCGTGGCGCATTCTAATGATGTAAGTGTCGCTGTCGCGGGTCACAAGAATTTGGACAGCGAAACCTTTTACGATAAACAACTCACATGAGACGAACGGAGTGACTGTGTTTAACTACAGTATATGTGCGTACTTTTCGTTATACGCTTGGGTGATTATTATCTCTTTCGTTTCATGACTGTTGCTTCTTTCTGCAGTAGACTGGTTGCCAACAAAGACTACATGATCTTGACTGTCCTGCTGGAGGGGGAAGAGATGGATTCATAATTTTTTACTAGGTTATTTGAGTATAAATAAATATCACGAGCCAGAGTGAAATTCTAACCTGGCCCTCCGATTTCTCATTCTTTCGCTACTCCAATGCGCCTTCGGATTTCGATGTTTCCTTTTGAGGTTGAAGTGACCGAAACTGAAGTAATATATTGCTTACCTAAATATATCTGGAAAAAAATTTCCAAATGCTAATTCCAATTTTATTTCGATAATATTCACTTGGACAATAAAATCTGATATAATGTACTGTGTAACCCGGATATAAGTGACCCAGATATAAGAGAAACTCGGATATAAGAGACCCGGATATAAGAGACTTCTTCACCGGTCCCGACAACTCTCTTATATCCGGGTTACACTGTATATACCTAAGCGTACAGTAAAATATATGCACGCGCACTTCAATGTATACGTACCAAGAATAGTGCCAAACATTTTGTTATTCATTTTAACATAAGCAAGGCTATAAAGCCACTACGACGCAAGGGGGTTACTGAGTCAAAGAATCAGAAAAAATCATTATTCCGGAGATAGTAGAATAAAATAACAGGATTTAAGGAGACATATGATGACAATCATCATTGCAATTAAATCTCTGAAGATCAATGTTGGCTGGAAGGTAAGAAGCAGGAAGTGACTTTAACACGCTAGTAATGCGGGAGAAGAAACTGTTAGCATAGAACTTACGGTTGTATCTACCAATTACACCTGTAAAAGTCCATGTATCAAAGAGGAAAACTCATCTTAACAGTTACCACAAAAATAATTACAGAAAACGCAAAGGAAAGCTATATTATTTCGGTTGAAGATGCCGGGTCATTTACAATAACATTGAAATTTTTTCTTTGAATTTTGTCAAGAATGTCTAGATACATAGCGGAAGAACCATGGCCTGAAATGACAAAAATATTCAATGCAACGACAAATGGTACACTTACAAGTGTAAGATAGGTCTGAAGAACACTTGATGTATGATTTTGAACGCCAACATGCAATATTGACTTCCATGTCTACACTGTCGAGATCTACAAATACTCTATCTCCGATATTGAGCACTATTCATTTATAAGTTTAATAAATTTTAAACAATAAATTTATACATGTTATATATCATTCGCCGACAGTATTATTTCGCAGTATCACAGCTCTTGAGTATAACTAGGCAACCGGATACCTCAAGCCAGGATTAAAAACAAACCTATTTCGTGTCAGTCAGAGTTTCTACCACTGAGCTGTCTTCATTCGTCATTCGCCGAGGAAGCTAAATCTAGCGTGTTGTTTTTATAAATGTAAACAAATGTCAAGCAGCTGGAGTGTAATACTAATTGGTAATTGGAAGGGATAATTCCAAGGACATTAATCCAAAATTATTATAGATATATATCATCCAAAATTATATATATATATATATATATATATATATATATATATATATATATACACAGAGTAAGTAAAAAAAATCCTCTCAATCGCCATAACATATCTTTTTTTGACAAGAGTGTGATAATTTTTACACCCCATCAGTATATATATATATATATATATATATATATATATATATATATATATATATATAGATAGATAGATATAGATATAGATATATATATATTTAATGAAAACAGACACTTTAAGGTACCATTACAATAATTTATTTCACCAAAAATCTTTTTTTGTAATGGTACCTTAAAATGTCTGTTTTTCATTAAATATTAGCTCTAGTATTGAACTCTCAGGATTTCATCCTCCTTGGATTTACCAATTCGGTTTACCAAATTCTTCATAACTTAAAATATATATATATATATATATATATATATATATATATATATATGTATATATAAATAAAAAGAAAGAACAGTAAGATATATAATATAGTGTTCTTATAGATATTTTTATTTTTACAAAATAGTGCTCAATTTAATTAAAAAATTAAATTCGAAGCTTTCAGCTTCCATTTTTGAAACATAGTTAGAACTGTGTAGCGAAAAAAAATATTTTAAATCAATTAATTTATAATATATATATATATATATATATATATATATATATATATAGAGAGAGAGAGAGAGAGAGAGAGAGTTTTGGGTGTATCCAGGCAAAAATTATTCATTCAAACATTTTTAAGATGAGAGACGAATTAAGTCTTTTTTATTTTTAATAGCATTGATATAATACAAATGTTATTATCTGATGACATGAAAGTTCTCGCAGTTTGTAAGTAAATTTCCTCCCAACCATTGACACAAATTAATCTCTTCAGACAGTCACCATACAGTGCTGATTTCTATGTCCATACATTTTATATCTACAAGCGTTCTATCTCCGATACTGACCCCTTTTTCCACATATATAAAAA